TTCCTAGTCAGCACAGTATCATACTTTGCAAAACATTTTTTTTTCCCCCAGATGCGATAAATTGACTTTTAATACAGAGAAATTTTTATCACCTTGGTTATATCCATCAGCTCAGCATCAAGCTGGGAGATTGCATCTTGCACTGAAGAATGATGGGAATACTGCCGTTGTAATGTTTCTTGTATTTGAAGTTGGATCCTTGCAACCTTGTTTAAAAAGAAAAATAAAATATTTCAAGATTGGATTAATTTAATCAAAGCTTAAGAATACACCCAGAATTAACTTTAACTTATTTAAATGTAGAAATGTTGTACTGTCTTACACCTCAGAGTCTCCTATCAACTGCATAACTTTGCCCTATCGGGAAGAAAGCACAGAACACTGTTTCTACAGAATTGGTAATAAAAATCTCATGTGCCAATGAGACAAAGTGAAATAATGCATTCACAGTGTAGCTTAGATTAGTATTTTTTTTTCTTACTTCCATTTTCTCTTCTAGTTCATGTAGGAATTCACCATCTGCAGCTATAGAGGATATGGCAGTGGAACTTTTGGCACTCAGAATGGCACGTGCAATGTATTCAAGACGCTGTTGAAGAGAAATTTCTGTGCTGCAAAACAAATATTCAAAATAAAATGGGTACTTAATAATTATTTGAGGGTTAGTTATATTCTAACTCGACTCTGGGAAATAGTATGTGACTTCTGATTTTACTAAATCATGCAGGACATTATCCAACCTTGTAACCTCATCTTAGTTGCAGGCTCAGTTCTAGTGTACTTCTGAATCCACTGCTCCACAGATACACTATTGCATTATAAAATTCTGTGTAAGAAATGACCACTTAATATATAGTACTTACAACAGGAAATACATTGCAAGCCAATGTATAATGCATAAAATAAACATGTAATTTCTTTCCAATAATGGCCTGGATTAAAAGCTAATATATTCCATTCATTTAATTTTTTTTTAGCAACCATCCTTGGGCATTGGCCTTTTATTGTCCTTGGCCTTTTCTTAAAATACTACACATAAGGTTTTGATTTTAGTTTGTTTTTTTCCCCAGTTACCTCAATATATGCAATAGGTCACACATAATCCATACCTATGCAGGTCAGCCAACTTAGCCAAGACTCTGGCTGCATTACTAAAATTTCTGTTCTTTTCAAAGTATCTCCACAGTAAATCCATATAACGGACTTTGTTTTGGTCAATCTTGGTCATCCGCACAAGGTAGGGTTCCAAAAAGGGGGCAGTCACCTGCAAAAGTCATAAAGATAACATGTATATTCTTGCTTTCGCCTCTTTTTTAAAGCATCAGCATTATTACAATTAACTCTTCCAGTTCAGTGGAACCCTCCAACAAATTATTTCATTGTATAGAGATGAGCTCACCTGTAACAGTTTGTCTGCCAAGTCAACTTGTATCAACCAGTTGTAAAGTGCAATACTGAAGAGCTCATCTGTTGAACGCTGAGCCAGCTTTAGCATTTGTTCAAACTAAAGGAAGAAAAGGCCAAAGCTGTTATTCCAGAAGTGGTTACATTACATAAAGCACTGAATACGTATGCAACAATACTTAGGGTCACGTTATTTGCATGTCATCCTTTCTATGAACACTCTATACATGAAGAAGCCAATTCATGACAAATCTTGACTTTTATCTTCTTCGCCAAACTATTCCATAATTTTTTTAAAATAATAAATTCTACACTCCTTCAAATCACACTATTTTCTGGAGTGCAGTCATGATTTTTTTATGTGTTTCTTACATGGTGCCCTGCTTCTTCATTGCTTAGCATGTTGGGGTCAGATGACAGCACTGGAGGACCTGGCTTTTTGGGTACACTGGGAGACTGAGGAGCAGCTTTACTTTGATTCACTAACTCTTGAAGGGTGTCAGTGATACACTTGTAGCTGTTCAATCTGTAAATAGAGCAAAAGAAAATAAAAGCCTCACAATTTTCATTGCAACAGTCTATGAAATACTCTTCTCAAACGTTGTTATTGTATGCCTTTGTAAACATAATTACTAGAAAAGGTCACAGATTATTGTCAGCTAGTTGCCACAATCTAGTTTGTTCTCAGTCATCTTTCTAACAAGTATTTCTGTAACGTTCAGCTCACAATGTTTTCTGCATCTATCAGTTAACCCTCTGTTCCAGATTCAGTTGGTGCCATATTAATGATAATCAAGGAGAGCATGCTGGGCAAAAACATCTATATTGTGTCCCTTACTATAACATTGTTTGTCATTACTCTGCGTACCTTCCCCAAAAGAATTGCTTTTCCAGTCACTTGAAATAAAGCACCCCCGTACAATGGTAATAAGGTATCCTGAAAACTTGCCTCTCTTGAAAAGCTTGGAGTCCAACAACATCTTCTTCTGGTTCTCCATTTTTATAGAAATGAAGGCCAAGACCTTGGGGATCTTTCTTCTCAGCAGCTGTAAGAGAGAGTTCTACCACTCCCTCATAGAAACGCACTAGAAAAAAACGAACAAGTATCACCATTCATTATTGTACTAAATCTATGACAAAATGGTAAGTGACATCAAACACTTCCCATTTTAGCAAGCAAGAAAAAATAAACCTTATTCACTCTGGTCTGTATCGTATAAATGTTTATGCCTGTACCTAACCTGCGGGATTATACGCAAGTTTGAAGTTACATATTTGTACAGAGGCTGAAATCTGGACTGTTACGACAGTTATATCTACATTTAAATTATGTACTAGCTTCTACTGCACAAAACAGGATTCAGAACCATCTTTCAAACAGCATATTTGGTATACAACTTTACCTGCAAAAGTACAGTCATTTACCCTCTGCTTACATGCAGCCCAACAATTTTCATAAAAACATTTTTACCACATATATGAAACACATGGACACTGCAATGTGAAATAAGTGGATGGGAATATTTTTTATACAGAAGTGGGTTTTTTGATTGGTTGGTGAAATCTAGAAAGGCTTTGATCTATATTAATTATAAGAGTTATTAAGAAACTGCTTATGGTAAAACACTATAAAATCAGTTGAAAGTTAGTAAACAAAACAAACAAAAAAGAAGAATGGCACAAAAGGATACTACAGAAACTATTTACCAGAACATGATCAGTGATTGCCTCTTACCTTGCCTATATTGCGCACAAACATTAGCAAGGTCTACTTGATTGCTGATCTTCTGGTACTCTTTCAGTGACTCTCTTAGCATCTTCTCTTTTTCCAGTTTGCTTTGAGCCTGTCGAGACCGCTGAAGCAGTTCATTTGCCTAAAGACAAATGATGGGAAAATGGAAATTATTCACATGAACACATCATGAACAGATCATGGATATTGTTGTAAGTTAATGAGTTCTTATTCCAAACTTCAAAGCTGAAACAGTAGAAACATCCTCCTCTCAAAAGCACTCTCTTGTCACTTGGTAACACTGAGTTACCAGCAGAAAGACTGTACAACAGCAGTAGAGAGAAGGGCTTAAGACTTAAACAACCAACTGGTTCCCCATTCTCCCCTCACCAGTTACTTTTTTCAAATTTATTTGAAGAGCTTCAAAGAGTGAAGTTCTTAAACACAATTATCTTTGCACAAATTCCATTAAACTAGGCAACAGACAGAAAACAAGACTATGCTGAGGAAAGACTGGATTAAGAACACATTTTATGAAGAAGACAGTTTTATTAGACATCACACTGGAGGTAGAGCCCCTATGAATACTACAAATAACTGCAAATGCTTCAAACCAGAGCTCAAATAGTTTTCAGCATTAATCAACTACAAGACACAAATTTGCACACGACCTGCCTTCATTAGTTCTTGTGCTCCTGAAACTATTTGAGCATAATGATTTGCAAGCTGCCCAACTTATCTCATTTGAACATGCTCTAAAGTTGTGTTTTGGTGCTGTGAAATCTGGAAGTGTGCTTACCTTGGAACACACAGCATCATCTGTGCTATAAAGAAGAGGACAGATATCTTGCAAATGGGCAATGATGCCATCCACAGCAGCATTATCTCTGATATAACAGTTTATGAGAGAAGCAATGAGTGCTCCAGTCAACTCTCTGTCTCTAATTACCAAGTCTTTGAAAGCAGTAATCTTTAGATGTTCCTGAAGTTCCTGAAGATAGACAGAATTTCATTAGTTTATCAAAGTTTTTCCTTTATTTTGTTTAGAAACATCACAATGTTACAGCAGGAAAATGAACTGCTTCCAGAAAATAAAAACATACAAAACTCCAATGACTGAAGTGCACAGCATAGAAATACATTATTTAAAATACACATTATATAGCAAAACAGAAATAACAAAAGAAATAACAAAAGAAAGCCCTATCAATGAAGGCACTAGACCCTTGGATGCCAAAGGACAGTGAGAACTCCTCTTAGCAGACTTCCTCTGCCATCTTCACTATGTGTCACTTTTGTTTTAGATCTCTGTAAGTAAGAATGGAATGAGCAGTTCCCCTTACTTCACAGGGCACTGTCAGAACACACACCCTATAAAATGAGTATGTCATGGTTTTTAATAATGGGAACCATCTGAGTACCATCATAGATGAAAAAAATGACAGATGCATAAAAAGGAGGAATTAAAAAAGTTTGAGGTCTGTACTCTTTATGCTTTTTTACATTAAATTACATTGAAGGTTATTTTTTTTTTAATTATTAGTAGTATTTGCTCACATAGAGTTGCCAGTAGTGTCTATGTAATGTCTATAGATGATCACTAACAGCATGAAAATACTACTACTAAAACTCTAAAACTACTGAAGATGGAGGAAAAGCTTCTCTTTGTTAAACAATTAGTTAACGCCTTGACTAACACAAGAGAAAAGCTGCCTGTGTTAGAAATCATGCTAACTCCCCAAAGCAACAGTATGAGGAGCTCCAGCTTATGTGCATTTGCAAGGTTCAAAAATTGTTCTTTTTATCGACAAATAATACAACTTCTCAAATAATGTATTTTCCTATCAAGTGCTAGGACAGAATGCCTAGTATTCAAATTAATAGCTTCTTCAAGGGCTGGATGCAAATTCAACATTAGCAAAGGGTACACAGCAGTAGCACCCATAGTTCTGTAAGTTTTCTTTAAAAACAAGGAGAGGCTGAAAGAACTGCGATTGTTTAGCCTGGAGAAGAGAAGGCTCGGGGGGTGACTGTGTGGGATCTTGCTAATATTTACAGGAAGGTGTAAAGAAGGCAGAGCCTGGTGGTGCCCAGTGACAGGACACGACGCAATGGCCAAAAGCTGAAGCAAAGGAAATTACATCTGAACATAAGAAAAATATTTTTTATTCTAAAGGTGGTTGAACACTGGAATGGGTTGCCCAGAGAAGCTGTGGAGTCTCCATTTTTGGAGATGTTAAAAACCTTACTGGACACAGTCCTGGGCAACCTGCTCTAGTTGACCCTGCTTTGAGCAGAGGGGACAGATAACCTCCAGAGACCCCTTCCAACCTCAGCTGTTCTGTGATGCGTTCTGGACCCCTACTTACACAAGAGTGCAAGGGCTTGAGACTCTACAACCCTATTGCTCTCCACTGTTAAACCTTTACCAACACTAAGACAAAGAGTAAATCCTCTCAGCTGGACAACATTGGTCTATTCTTTTCAGCACATTTTGAAGAATGTGCTTAAGGTGAAAACACAGTGATTTATAAAACCAGACTCATTATTAACTGTCAATAAAAGTAAAATAAAATCTGTTGTTAGTGACACTTCCAATTTGCTAAAATTGGGTGATGAGGTCAGTACTACACATCAGTCTCGTAAAAATAAACACTTGCAACCTGAATAAAAATCCATATGTGGTTTAAAATTCATCATATGTTCCCCAATGAATTAAAGTAATACTCCTTTGGGAATATTTAGGTAGCAAAAGAAATTCAGAAGTTAAATACAAACAAATTAAAATCGTATGATTCAGATCGTACCTTCTGAAGCTCACCTACAACAACACTGAATTGGTGCTCACACAGCAACTTCCATAAAGCCAATGCCTGACAGGTTTTGCGAACAAGCTGCTGGATGCCTTGAAGTGAGGTCTTCTCAGTCAGCTGTGCCTCAGCTGAAAAAGCAAAGAGATTGTCAGTAAGTAACTGTTCTACATGTTTCAAATCAGCATGTAATTTTTTGAGGTTTTATAATAACAATCTCTTTAAATATCCTTTTTTTTTTTTCCCCTCTTCCATTCTTGATTAATGCTGTCTAGCTCTCTTTGGAGGGAAGTGCTGTGTTAACATTTCCCCAAAACAAATACAATCTGTTAACATTTCAAACTATGCAACACAGGAGGAGTACTTTCTGAAAAAGAAGTACGGCTTTGTGTGAGTGCACTGGATTTACATATCAGTCTTAAACTTTTGCTTGGTTTTTTTTTCATAAATTGTTATTATAAATATTTATGATGAACATAAAAGAAATAAAACCATACAGATTCCCTTTTTGTTTGATTACCTTTATTTGCTTTTATAAAGAACAATTACAACTTCGGTCAATACTGTCTACGCTATCTTTAAAGGAACAACAACTATTCCGAAAACTAGTAACATTTAAATCTGATAGGATGTATTATATTCACTGAAAGAATAATATGAACATACTTATTACATTGGTGGAACATAATTGCAACTATTTTTTTTGATCATGGGGAGGTTTACACGGCACCGGGCCTGCTGGCGACAGATGGAGTCCAGCTGTCTCGCAGGGGGAAAAGGGTCATCGCTTACGAATTGGCAGGGCTCATTGAGAGGGCTTTAAACTAGGTTCGAAGGGGGAAGGGGACAAAACCGGGCTCGCTAGAGATGAGCCGAGGGGTGGCATGCCGATGCCGGGGGTGAAATCGATAGCCCAGCTCAAGTGCATCTACACCAATGCACGCAGCATGGGCGGCAAGCAGGAGGAGCTGGAAGCCATTGTGCAGCGGGAGAGGTATGACTTAGTCGCCATCACAGAAACGTGGTGGGGTGACTCTCACGATTGGAGTGCTGCAATGGATGGCTATAGACTCTTCAGAAGGGACAGGAGAGGAAGGAGAGGCGGCGGGGTGGCTCTGTATGTTAGGGAGTGTTTCGATTGTATAGAGCTTAACGATTGTGATGATGAT